GTCACACACAGAGCAGGGCCAATGGGGAGGTTATGGCTCTCCCCCGTCACACACAGAGCAAGGCCCGTGGAGGGGGGTTGGGGCGCCGCCCTCTATCACCCACAGAGCAGGGCCGATCAGGGGGTTGGGGCGCCGCCACTGTCACACTCAGGGCAGGGCCGATGGAGAGGTTATGGCTCTACCCCGTCACACACAGAGCAGGGCCAATCAGGGGGTTGGGGCGCCGCACCCTGTCACACACTGAGCCGCAGGGCGATCAGGGGATTGGGGAGCTCCCCCCTATCAGGCACAGAGCAGGGCTGATCAGGGGGTTGGGGCGCCGCACCCTGTCACACACAGAGCCGTAGGGCGATCAGGGGGTTTGGGCGCTGCCCCCTGTCACGCTGATCCCGGTGCTGGGAGGCCTCGCAGCTCTGCTGATCCTGGTGCTGGGAGGCATATTACCCTTTTACTATATAGAATAGAGGCCTGGTGCACGGGTAGGGGCCGGCTGGTTTGCCTTGAAGGGTGTCCTGGATCAGGGTGGGGGTCCTCACTGGGGTGCCTGGCCAGGCTGGCTGAGGGGCTAAGGGCCGTTTTCAGGCTGGCGGCTGACTGAAGCTCCCAACCGCTCCTTTTCTTCTTTTTTTTTTTTTATTCTGGGCCAGCTTTAGCTCTGAGGCCTCGCTGCTGAAAACATTGATACAATGTTGTGGTCAGGCTAGCTGAAGCCTGGCTGACTGAAAGCCGGTTTCTAGGGTTTTGTTTAGCTTCTATATTTGCAACATAGTTGCTTAGAGTTGCAGCTGAGAGGCCGGCAAGTTAGGCGGGGAACGTTGGAGTCTGCAGTCACTGGTGCAAGCAAGCCTCCCTGTTCGCTTCAGTGCATGGCTGCCGGCCGCCATCTTGGCTGACAGTTAATTTGCATAAGGATATGCTGATTAGCCAATGGGAAGGGTAGCGGTTGTACGCTAATTACCATGTTTCTCTTTTATTAGTGTAGATAGTGAAAAACTGGAAATTGGAAATACCCTAATAGGCAAACAATGGGAGAATAAAAAGTGGTATATTCATATAATAGAATGGATAAACTAAAAGTTGTACATATTCAGGTCAAAAAATGAAAGTGAATGATAAACACTAAAATTCACGTTAGTGGTTATTCTGTGGAGTAAGGGAAGCTACTGAACTTGTAGATTGGTGCACTGGGGGCTTTAAATGTATCTGTAACACTTTAAAGTTTAAATGAAAATATGAAACAATTATGACAAAGTGTAAGATTTGGTGACACTAAGAAGTGTGTATATTGGTTATTAAATTATACTAGAGGCCTGGTGCACGAATTCACGCATGGGTTGGGGGGAGGGACCTCAGGAGGTTGGCTGGCTGCGGGAGGTTGACTGTGGGAGCACACTGACCACCAGGGGGCAGTTTCCGCATTGAGCATCTGCCCCTTGGTGGTCAGTGTGCTTCATAATGACCGGTTGTTCGGTCATAACAGTCACTTAGCCTTTTATATATATAGATTATATTATATTTTATTAAAATAAACATATTTTCAAACTTATTTTAAGTTTAATTTGGATTATTTAGTGAGCACTTTACAACCAAATGCTAATACAAGATTTCATGCATTTATGTTTGTGTTAAGGAGCAAGTCAGTGCTAAATGGAACCACTTGATTTTCTATGAGAAAAGAATAGAGGCAGGATGGACACAGAAATTATGTAATCCCATCAATATCACAGCATGCTCTTCAAATGAAGGAGCTGATAAACATCATAGGAAAATTGAGTCAGAGGAAATAATAGTATGGACTTGGTAAATTCAAAGAACCATATTTATGTGTTTTGGCTTCAGTAAAAATCACTTTTCATATTCAATTCATGTTAATTTGAATTTTACTAGTTTTATTATTTGGCTTACATTTAGTTTGTAAAATTGTTCTTATTTTCTAGTTATAAAAAAGCTATAAAAATGAGTTCACAGCTAGCCTCTGCTTTGTACATATTAAGTTACACTAGGTAAGAACATTTTTCCTTTAAATGGACCTGTACGTTTCCTAACCTGATATATTGTTAGCTCTCAACTGTGTAAAGCAGCATGTTTTAGAGAGAAGGAAATACACCAAAGTATTAACAGTGGAGTAATGAGATTTGGGTGACAATTTACCAAATTTTCTATATTCACTACTTATGTTACTCTAATAATTAAAAAAAAGTAAAGAAAAATTTATTAAAATACCTCTTAGTTATATTTAATAGTTTTATACTTATGGGAATCACTACTTTATTAAATTTCAGAACTAAAGAGTTCCCCTATAGGATCCAAAAGCTGTTCTCTGGTTTGTTATGAATCATTGTTTGTCAAAACCAGACCTGGAAATACATTATATCTATTGTCTCACCTGAATGTCGAAGTGCAGAAAATCCTTGCTCATCCTCCCACTCCCAGGTTGATTCACTCTTATTATTAGTGGAATGGAAATCAGGAATTTCATGATACCAGTCTATGTCTGTGCTGCTAATAAAACAGAAAATGATGAAGACATTATTAAGGAATTTCTCAGAACTTGAATGAAATGACTACTTTTATAGAGATTTAAACGTTTTCAGCTACCTTTTCAAAAACAAATAGTGTTTTAAGGACCTATTTATTATGAAGAAGAATAATTTGTTTTGCAAAATGAACTAGACCATCTCTAGAATCTTGCAAGAACAAATGACTTGAATCTCAATTTGACAAAAATTCTTTAAAGAGATATGTAAAGCCCGGCCGGTGTGACTCAGTTGTTGAATGTTGACCTATGAACCAGTAGTTCACAGTTGGATTCCCTGTCAGGGCACATGCCCTGGTTGCCGGGCTTTATCCCCAGTAGTGGGCATGCAGGAGGCAGCCAATTGATGGTTCTCTCTCATTATTGATATTTCTACCTCCCTTTCCCTCTCCCTCTTTCTGAAATCAATAAAATAAAATAAAAACACATAAAAAAAGAGATTTGTAAAGACATCTTTGCTCCACTGATGGCATACAAGATTTTCCATATCACTATCAGATCTTCAAAAGAATCTGAAAGGTACATAGATGAGAACAAGAGCCATGCACATTCACCTGCTGATGCAGTCTCCTGTGAGAGGGTCGCAGTTCCCTGCACAGTCACAGGGCCTGCAGCCGTAGTCTCCGAAGCCCCAGTATCCCACCATACACCTGTCACAGTGTGGCCCTGCCACCCCGGGCTTGCAAGGGCAGTCACCATTACTGGGGTCACAGAAGGTCACTGAGCTGAAAGGAAGGACGGCTGATCCAACTGGATGGCAGGAACACACTACAACAGAGAGGACATACAAGGACTGATGAGTGACTGGATTGTGGGGACTGGGCCTGCCAATCCCAAAATGGCTTCCTTTTACTACACAGCATGTCTCTGAGGCACATCCTTCAGCCAGTTGGTGTATACTCAGAGAATAAAAGCTAATTAAATTACAGATAAGAAGATAAAATGAGAAAAGCACGTCTGCTGCAAAACAAACCGCATTATCTATAATAATAAAAGCATAATATGCTATTAGACCAGATGTCCTTCTAGATGTCCCTGTGGACAACCTACTGACCTTCCGGATGAAGCCAGGGCTGTGAGGGAAGCCCGGGTCCTGGGTGGCAGAGGGAAGCCAGTGCCGGCAGCAGGGGGAAGGAAGGCCTAATGAATTTCATGCATCGGGCCTATAGTTTATTATAAAATTGAAGGCATTAAATATGAATGGATTTTGGTTGGGGGATGGGAATGAAGACAAAGAAGGAGCAATTTTGTGATAAAGGAAAAAAAAAAAAAGATGAGTACGGTGTTCAAGAAGCCAAACAAAGATTGTTTCACAGAGGTAGGCAATATCAGCTGTGTCAAATGCTGATAGGTCTAAGGAGATGAGGAATGGAAATGGATTATTGCATTTCACAACATGAAGGCCACTGGTGTCCTTGATAGGGACAGTTTCAGTGAAATAGTGAGCAGCAAACCTAATTGAAGAGGTCTTGGGAGAGAATGGCAGTAAAGGAAGTTGAGCCTGAGAACAGACACCTCTTTTGAGAAGATTTCCTATAAGGGCACAGAAATGTAGTGGCAGCTAAACCTGAACGGGGATGTGAACTCTAATGAAGGTGTGAGTTTTGTTTATTTTGTTTTAAGATGGGAGAATTATAACATGTCTGGAGTGTGCATTGAGTGGAAATAAGTTGAAGTTTGAAGTTTATCATACATTTGGAGAGACTGTATACTGTATAACATGAATGTATCAAAGTGCTATGTGAAAATTTTAAAAGAAATCACATATTCCAATATAAACATTTCCTCATTATGAGGTAAATAAACCAATAGTGCCTTTATCACTCAGGTAAGTCAATTTTGTTCTTGACAACATATAGGGGAACCAGAATAAAGACCCACATCTAATGTAATATATGGTATCCCACCACCACCATTATCTTTTTCTCTAATAGAAAATTCAAGCCTTTCTGGGATTTAGCCCCTCTGTACTACCATATATTTTAAAACCTACACATATTTCAGGAATGGTCAGAGAAGAATGTGATTCTGTCACATGTGCTAGTGGATTTCTGTCAATGTGACTTTTTACATAATTACCAGATAAAAATACCACTTGCAAACTATGCAGAAGTAGCTCCAGGCAGAAGGCCCTGACATCTTTCACAGCATACTTTTTCAGACTGCACACCGAGGCTTGCCTTGCATACCGATCTCCTGAAGTTTGTATAGCAGGCAATATCTGACACTCATAATCTACATTTCTTATTTTCTTCCAAAAGCAAATATATTTCCTTCTTGCATGGGAAAAATAAGAGGTTTTTCTTAGATTCTGGTTCAGGTTCTGATTCTCCAAAGTATATTTCTTATTAGTTGTTGATTCTAAAATGTAACTCAAGCACTTAATTTTTACCTATTCATTATGATGAATGTCAAAGTTACAACCCAACTGGAGTGACATAAATCCTACTGCAGCTTTGTCTTTTCTTGTTAGACATGAAATCCAATAGTAAACATTTGCCCTAAGCTGCTCTCACAACCAAATTAGCAAAACAAAATTAGTTAAAATGACATTTTTAACTCCTAAATATTGTTACAAGGTTTCTTTTAAAATACAAATAACTAATTTAAAATAATATATTCTATACTGATATGTCCTATTGTAAGAAAACCTGAAATGATAATACAAAGCATTCAAAACAGATACGATAGAGAAAATGGGTACTTTCATAAACGATTTCACAATAGGTTCCCTTTAAATAATGAATTTAGATACTTGCTAAATGTTACACGAATTTTATTTACAGATATGTGGTTGCATCAATACACCTATTGTGTGAAGCACTGTTTCTCTATAGAGTATTTACAGAAAAGAGGACACGAAGCTGCTCTGGAGTAAATTCTACCAGAAAACCTAACTTGTAATGAAACAACAGATGAACATGTTTTCTAAGTAACCTTCTGCATCTGTAAGGCTCTGAAATGAGTATTTGTTTCAACCACAAATGCTAACAATAAATACAGTTGTTTGAAAGTTACCTGTAACATGTCTTAGGAAGATCTCTTAGGAAGACAGAAAATAAAACAAGGGCAGTATAATAGAGTTGGTAAGGGCACAAACTTAGGAGTCAGACTAGATGAGTTCAAATCTGGTTCTAAGGCTTATTCCTTTGTGGAATTAACCTCCTCAAGACTCAGTTTTCTCACTGATGAAGTAAGAAGTATGCCATAGGTTTGTGTGAGGATTAAATAAGATGACGTATATATGTAGCAATGTATCAGGCATTTATTGGCATCAAATGCTCAAAGAATAAATATTATTATTATTACCTAGGTGAAACATTGGTTTTAAAATGCTCACCATTCATTCATGCCTTCACTCACACCTTTGTCAAAGAGTTCTTGAACTTTAGAGTTAACATGAACTATGCTAGGGGCTGAAGACACAAAAATGAGTACAGAGTCACTAACTCTTTAGTAAGAGAAGAGAGATAGGCAAATAAATAATTACAGGGCAGTAAATGTTATAACAGTGTAGTCCAGGGTGCATGAGAACACAGAGGAAAGAGCAATAACTGCCTCGGTGTAGATAAGGGTTGTTTTGAAAGGAAATTAATGATCAAACTGGCTTTCAAAATAAGCGGAAATTTCTTGCTTTACACCTGGAAGAAATTTGGAGGCAAATGGCTTTCTCCACGATTCTAAGTCCTATAGAATTAGGTAACTCGCCTGTTACATGTTTCTTTCTTTGGATTAAAAAAAAATCAACCTGCTGTTACTGTCCTTTTGTGGATCAGAACATGTTGAGAAAAAGTAGGGTCTGATCTATGGTCCTGCTGCTTATAGGAAGGTACCCTACAATGTAATGTAGAACTAGAGTCACAGCTGTCAACCCATGTGAACATAAGTATGCACAAATGGCAGGAACATAATGGAAAAGTTATGGCTTCCTTTATTCTGATGGGGTTGCTAAAGCCTTTGGTGGTGGAGTCATAGGAAACCATTGCTGTCTTTTCATCTTTATTTGCACCTTCACTAGACTCCTAGGAGTCTGTTTGCATGTCTTTCACTCAGAGTGATCCATGATGCCAAGCGTGCTGTAGACACACCCAGTTGTGTTCAGCATCATGCCCTTTTGAAATTGCCAGGACTCCTTAGCATTACCTTATGACTCTAGCTTTTTGCTATTCTGTTTGCAAAAGCTACACTGGGAGCAAAATACCCTGAAAGTATTTATTTCTGATTTAGCTTTTCTAAAAACAGAACTCAGAGTTCAAGGCCCTCAGCTGGGAAAGAAGCTGTTGGTCAAGCCCTTTCATCATTGTCCAGTGGCCACTCCTCAGTGTGCTGCCCAGGCTCCCAACATTTTCTCCTGAAAAGGCCAAGGCCCTACAGAATTTCTGATGGGGAATTTTTAACGTCAAAGCTATTTTGAAAGCTGTCCAGTTGCCTGCGGAGGTTCTTGGATGACTAGGAGTTAAAGGAGATGACTTTGCATACAACTCTAAACAGAAAGGAGGCAATATGAACTGTTGTTACTATATTTAGTGTGAAGTTAAATGTTATATAAAATAAAATCTTCTAGCCTTTTTGGTACTGTTTTCTCCTTTCTTTCTACTACCAACTATTTGTAAACAAACTTTACTCTGTACCCCTTTATTAGCCTAGGGAACAGTTTTCTATACATCCTTTAAATGTTATATGCATTGTGTTCAAAGATGTCTAGTTCCATGATGTTAAAGGTGTATGTTAACCAACAAATGTGAAATGATGTTATGTTTTAAATGAATATACCTCTCAATAACTGACAAACATGCAATGATCTAGGTTTAAACCTCCACAAAGGTTCATACTATTTATTTATAGGTTTTTAGTATCTTAGCACCACAGCATTTGCAATACTAAGATACTAGAAAAATAAAAAATAAAAACAAAGCAAAACAACAAATTCATAGAAAATTAAAATGCTCAAGTAGAACAGATTATTCTTAATCTTGAGACTATTTCCTACATTTAATGCTTCATTCAGTCAAGTTTTATTATTTATTATTTGTAATAAAAGTTCTTTAATCTAACTCTGTAGGAGACATTCCCATCACACTGGCAGCAAAATTTTTTGTGTGTCACATTAATCAATCTGAAATTCCTTTCCTCACTTTCATCCAATTATATCTAATTATGACTCTTTGTTCTAGGGGAGTAAATTACTTTTTGCCACTCCTTATATCCCCTTACACCTTTTGAGTATGTGTAAAAAGTTATATTCTCTCTGAGAAGTTTCCTAATTGATCTGAGAACATTTATGCTTTTTTATATTTATCTATTAGCATCTCTCTTTTCATGATTGTTTTGTTGGTCTGTTTGGAACACTCTCCATTTACCATCACCTTTCTTGTACTAAGAATTCTTAAGATAAATACAATTCTTTATATTCACACTTCACATGGCTCTTTATCACTAAGCAAAGTCTTATTCAAAACCCAAAGTGATATTAAAAAAAAAATCTAAGTTTTTAATATATTATTTTTGGCTCCAGTATGTATATCTGATTATCCCCACCTTTGTTAACTCATTTTGTTTTCATCAACTATGTCATAATTTGGATCTTTGTAGGTCTTTGGCTCAAAGTCTCTGAGGTCAGACAAAGCTGGGTTCAAATCCCAGCTCTGCCTCTGACCATTTGCATGAACTTAGACAAACTATATAATCAATTTAAGCCCCATGTCCTCATTTATAAAGTACAAAAGACACCACCTAACTTATAAAAATTGCTAAATGGGATAACTTAT